GAAGAGCAATAGAAGTGTGTTCTAGATGCGTGGGTGATCCAACCCTTTCTGGGCAGAACTTGAGATCAGGGTTCTTCACTTATCGAGTGTCTCAAGCCCCAAGGGGGAGCCCTGGGGATGAAAGGGTAGCAGTTCTCACCCACCAGCCCTGCCCCTCTGGCTGGGGGCTTCCACAAAGCTGGTAACTTCGGAAACCCTGTGATACCGTTTTATAGGGTCTCGATGAGCTGTCCTTTAGGGACTCAATGAGTCTACTCTATGGCAACAGGTGTGTGTTCAAGGACAGGCTGAAGGACAGTATGAAGAACTAGGAGGACAGACTGCTCAGGTAGGTACTGGACAGTGAAGTGATGAGAGGCCTGTGCTAGTTACAGCATCTGGGGTCAACTTGCGAAGGGATAGAGTCTAGCCTATCAATCTGATCGCAGCTTGATGACCTCATTTGGAGGCACCATGGAGATAAATAGCTCACCAGCGGAGGCCAGATACACACAGACTCTCTGCTTTGTCTCCCTGCTGACAAGACACATGGAGCTACGCTATAGCCCTGGAGCTGGAGGAGCCACGTAGAGACCCCTGTCAGTGCTGAGATGCTTCTACTGCCACTGGATCCACAAGACTTTCCACCCACTGGCCTGTGATCTTCTTGCACTCAGTGTCATTGCATGTGTTGCTTGAGTCTGGAGAGGAATTTATAGATTGGTATCAGACATATAGGACTTATGGACTTGATCTGAACTGGGCTGGGAGGCTTTCTTAAACAATTGCTCTTTGACATAAGTTCTCTCTTACACACATATGATTTGTTTTTCCAGTCTACCCAGACTAACACAAGGCCTTATGTGGTTTGGCGAGTTTTCCAGTACCCCAAGGTAGACTTCATCTTGCTGCCTCAAAATGGGAATACATTTGTGCCCCCACAGCCAATGTTCTGAAGAGTTCACCCTTCAAGGCAGCTCCTCATCTGGCTGAAATGGCTTCACAAAGGGCTGGTTCAGAAAGCTCTGTTTTTGGTCCAACCTCAACCCTGTCTATTTGACTTCTGGGATTGCCTTCTGGAGAAGAAGAGCCTTATACCCATCATTTCTCTCTTTACAGGTGAGGAAACCAAGTCCCTGAGAAGTTAAGGGCCTTGGTCCAGGTCACGCAGCTCATTTGAGGTGGGGCAAGACCTAGACCATAGGCCTCCTGGCTTGGCTTCGAGCCTACTGGCTGTATCATCCACTGTTCATCTTCCTTCTGCTCCCTCTCACCATCTCTGAGCTAGGGGGCCTGAGCACCTGTAGGGAAAACCTCCCTGCACTCTCATGTTCTGGAATACAGAAGACAGGAAAGGTGGCTACTGGGTGATGTGCAAAAATGCTCTCAGGTGAGCCTCACAGTGACTCTTGACACACTTGAGTCAAGGGATCGGCCCAAGGTCACTCAGCTACAAGGTGGCTTTGAATGGGATTCCAAGAAGATTCAAAACCAGAGCTTCTAAGATTTGATACAATTTCCTTCATTTTATAAAGGGCTGTCGGTGCCTCACGCTACCTGTTAACATCAAAAGCTGCCCTAGAACCCAGGTAATCTGACTTCTTTTTCCCTGCCTGTTTTCTGGCCACACATTTCTTTTACAAGGTCCAAGCTGTCTGTGATGACTCGCTGCTCCCAGCTGCTCAGCTTCAGACAGATGGGGCTCCTGAGCTGTTCTTGGCCCTCATTCCTGGACTCAGCTCCTGGTTAAATCACCTGGCTACCTATTTCTACAGAATTTACAGCTCTCCAGGTGACAGACCTCA